TTAGGAGATTATTACCCTAATCGTTAAATGACGAGTTAATGGTGGCAGCACACCAACATGGCACTGTATAACGTATGTAACAAACCTAGCACCTAGAACTTAAAGTATTTGTAATGATTGCCATTCTAACTGGTGTGAGATGGTATCTCATTGTGGTTTTGATTTGCATTTCTCTGATGGCGAGTGATGATGAGCATTTTTTCTTAAATAAATGGCTCTAACTCTGAGTAAGAGTTGAAAATTATCTTCTTTAGGAAAAATGCATCCCTGAGTGTGAGCAAACTTGGGATTCTAAGAATTTTTTTTTTTTTTTTAGTATTTAATAAGCAATATTAATTGTATCTTTCACAAAAGGGTAGGAAGGCCAAGGCAAGAAAAATGTTTTTCTTTGTACCTCCAGGGCATGGTGCATAACGAAGGTTCCAAACATGTTTGTTGAATGAATGTATGAATAGTTGCCATATCACTCTCACACCAATTACCATTGAGTACTGCGGGACTATCCCACTGGCATCACCGTGATAGATATAGACCGCCCCTGTGAAGTCGTCCTCCTTGGGTGCACCAATGGCCACATCTGAGGGTAGAAAAACAGCCATGGGTTAAAAAGCCACATTAACAATATAAGTGCAGCTTCCCTAATTCTGGTTATCATGTCTGAGTCCCTGGATATCAGAAATTATTAGTTGTTGATGGTCAAGCATTAATTTAGGCATATGATCCCTTAGTAGGAAAAAAAAAAAAAAGGCCGGGTGTGGTGGCTCATGCCTATAATCCCAGCACTTTGGGAGGCCGAGGCAGGCAGTTCGTCTGAGGTCAAGAGTTCAAGACTAGCCTGGCCAACATGGTGAAACTCCATCTCTACTAAAAATATAAAAATTAGCTGGGCGTGGTGGCACACGCCTGTAGTCTCAGCTACTCTGGCAGCTAAGGCAAGACAATCACTTGAACCTGGGAGGCAGAGGTTGCAGTGAGCTGAGATTATGCCACTGGACTCTAGCCTGGGCAACAGAGTGAGACTCCATCTCAAAAAAAAAAAAAAAAAAATTACAGTAAAAACTATAGAAGCTGACCGAGAAGAGTTTAGTTCCAAAAAAGTTTCTACCTTACGCTCATAAGAAAAACCACTGACCCATCCAATAAAAGAAATGCAGATCTAAACTACCTGCCCTAATTTCCATCAGGGAGAATTCCACAGACAATGGCTATTGCGTAACTGAGAAAATCTGAGGTCCTGGATAAAGGACTATTCCTTATTATTATTTGATAATAAATCCATTCCTGGATAAAGGAAATGTACAGAGGGCATTCACTTCACACACAAAAAAACAACATTACTCTCACAAACTGGCAACTCCTAGAACAAAGCCTAGATCTTCCTAACTTTATTTCCTTGCTTCTAACAAAGTCATGTGTCTGCAGAAGTGAGGCCAAGGGGGAGGAAAATGAAGCCCTTTGTAGCCAGTGTTAGGAGGTATCAAAGACGTCTGGATGGTTGGCCTGGGCAAGGGTGGCCCCACCTCCACCACCATATACCCTGGTGACATGGCTGCTCCGCCTCCCGATGTCCTTATGCTGTGTATGCAGGGAGGCGAAGAGGCTCAAACAAGCCAGAGAGAGAGGCCAAGAGGCTGTGAGGAATACTGCTGTCCAAACAGACCTAAACATTAGGTACATATGCCTCCACGCCTCCCAAGACACACACACACGCACAGACACACACACACACACACGTGCACTCTCAAAAGGCAACCCAGCTGCTGCTATAATCAGGCAGAAGATGTCTGGGTTTCTAATTCTCTCCTCACTCATTTCCCCAACAACGTGGTAGAGCATCATGGAGCATCAAAGGCTCGGAAGCAAGGAGAGTTGATAGCAGGATGAAGCTGTTCAAACTTCTCTGCCATAAGAAGTCCCAAATGAACCAGCCCCAAGGTTTGTTTTCACTGCAAACAACAAAGAACACTGAGCTAGTGAGAAGGGGTTATGCAGAGACAAAACTCCAGTGGGCTGGAAGCTCGGCCCTGCGTGTCTACACGGAGAGCACCTCTAAATGTGTCCTCTCTCCCTACCGCACATTGATGGGCCTTTGGAGTGGGCCAGTAGACCCAGGAGCACGCCACTAGAGATGGACAGTCAGCGGGCAGGCTGGCCCTCTGAAGCAGAGCAGCGTGCTGCACCTGGAGGGGCTCCGCGCACCGGTAACACTCACTCACCCGGGAACCCATCGTCATCCAGATCGTCCAGGCTGGCAATGCTTTCTCCAAAGTGCGCATTGTAGGCGCCATCCCCGGTCAGAGCCAGCTGCTCCTCGAGGGCTCCCTGGGAAACAGGATGGAGGAGAAAATGGAAAACAAAACAAAAACAAACAGAACAAACAATAAAAATCAATAAAAAACCAGAGCTTGAATGCTGCCCTGCTAGAGCACGCTCATCGACAGGAAACACCTGGGCAGAATTACAGGAACCCAAATTTCTCTCTCCTGCTGGCAAAATGAGTCCCTTTTACCTGCTTAGCAGGATGGTCTTCCATAGCCTGAGATGCATTTTTGAGGGAAGGAGAATGTCACGGTAGCCAATGACTACACTCCCCCTTGTCCTAATGCTCTACACACAAGCAAACCTCCCTACCCACCTGTCCCCCCTGTGCTCTCCGCATCCTTAAGGTATAGCAATTTTTCCCCAATGTTGTTTTAAAAGGGTATACATTTTTCTATTTTTTCTTTCCTGTGTCTTTTGGTACAAGTTTATAAAGCTGTTTTGCAAAGTACATGTATGAGTTATCTTGATAGAGGGAGTCATGGTTCAGAAAATCCAAGCACCCAGTCGTTCTTGGCCAGGGGGTGGCTGTGGTGGCAGATGTCACTGTGCCTGTTTTTCATGCGTGGCTCAGGTATGAATTTCCTGAGAAAATACTAACCAACAGGGGCGGGGGTCAATGATGTACAAAGGCAGGAAAAGTCATCTGACTTTGGGGGAAAAAGTTATACCCACTCTCACCCCAAATCACTGACACATGAATACCAGAGTGATACAATGCAATCTGATGTCTTGGGGCATGAGAAGATTTATGCATTCCCCAGTGCAGAGGCAGTCTGGGCCCACTATATCCCACAGGCCATCCTGCGAGTGTCTGGCTTTTACCATGACCAACTCTTCTTTCTCACTATAAACACAATTTACAACTTAAAAACAGTCAAGGTGAGATGATTTCTTGGGTGAATGAAACCTCCACCCCAAAACACAAATATGCATTAATTTCTTTCTTTCAGTGTCGTGGGGAAGAGGAGAGGAACACCAGCAACTGATTCCTTCTATGTACCAGGCACTGTACAACCAGCTCCTCATTCAAATCACACAATGACTCCATAAGGAAAATCTTATGATGCCTCTCACTTCACAGATGAGGAAATTGGGCCACCAATTTCAAGCCATTTGTCCACATCACACAGGCTAGCACATGGCAAAACCAAGATTCAAACTCAGGTCCACCCTGCTCCAAAGTCAGCATTTTTTCCCCTCCTCCACATTGCCTTCTGATCTTTATTCAAATGGCTATGTCAACAGAAATGAGACTACTCTGGTACTTAGAATAACCACACAACATCAAGAAACACTGGTTGGCAGGAGAGGGTGTAGGTGCATCATGCCCAGTGGAGGCCTGGGGCAGTTCTTATGCTTCAAGAGTCCACCTCCTGATTTAGACACACAGTCTGGCTGTTGGACCTGACTCCTACACAAATGTCTCAGTCTCCTGCAAATATAATGGAGACACCACTGAATGCCCACGGCACTCATCTATTTAATGTCCCCCTGATTTCTCCCTGCACCCTGCCCTGACGTCCTAGAATGTCAGTGGGGATGCAGTGCCAAGGGCTCCTGCAACAGGTACCAATAAGCACCTTCCCTCTCAGGTATTTTATTTTTTTTAGAGACAGAGTCTCGCTTTCTAGCCCAGGCTGGAGTGCAGTGGTGCAATCAAAGCTCACTACCACCTCAAACTCCGGTGCTCAAGGGATCCTCTCGCCTCAGCCTCCTGAATAGCCAGGATTACAGGCAACCACCACTGTACCTTGCTTGTTGGCTTGTTGACTGATTGACTGATTAACTGATTGACAAGGTCTCACTCTGTCACCCAGGCTGGAGTACAGTGGCATGATCATGGCTCACTGCAGCCTCCACCTCCTGGGCTCAAACAATCCTCCCACCTCAGCCTCAGCTGGGACCACAGGCAAGCACCACCACACCTGGCTAATTTTTTGTGTGTTTTTAGTAGAGACATGGTTTCACTATGTTGACCAGGCTGGTCTTGAACTCCTGGCCTCAAGTGATCCTCCCGCCTTGGCCTCCCAAAGCCTCCCTGGTTTTAGATCTGCCTTCCTGAAAAGCCTGAAAACCTCAGAGGCAACATAAGGCTCTAACAGTCCCTGGCTCTCCTTTCACTGTTTCCTTCCTTTGTGGCATCTGCTCACTTAGTTATAGCTAAACCTCTGCCCTCTCCCAACTGGGATACCTAACATCCCAGCCACTGCTTAACAGTATACTTTGACTTATTTTTTTTTAATATGAAATTATATTCTTACTATTTGGATAAAGATAAAACTAAACATCTATTCAGAGAGCTGTTCCTCACATTCTCTATGTATTTGGCGTATTTCTGAGGACTGGTTATAAATGCAGTTTTCATCCCGTTTTCCACTGATTATCTCATAAGCATTTTCTCATGTTAGATAAAAGGTAGGCGGCACCAGAATGTTTTCACTGAACCACCTCACTCTTGTTGAATACTTGTACTTGAATACTTGTACTTCCAGATCCTGAAAAGACTGCTTTCTCCCTGGTCTCCTGCCTCCACGATGTACTGCTGTCCCCCAACCCAGCCCCTACTCACCCACCCTCCATTAGCTACAGAGGGCCAGAGGCACCTTTCTGTCCATGTCACATCCCTTTCGTGGTTCTGCAGAATAGGGGACATCAAGATTATTGGTCGGGCGTGGTGGCTCACATTTGTAATCCTAGGGAGGCCAAGGAGAGCAGATCACTTGAGATCAGGAGTTTGAGACCAGCTGGGCCAACATGGTGAAACCCCATCTCTACTAAAAACACACAGAAAAGTAGCCAGGTGTGGTGGCAAGCACCTGTAATCCCAGTTACTTGGGAGGCAGAGGCAGGAGAAGAGCTTGAACCCAGGAGGCAGAGGTTGCAGTAAGCCGAGACCGCGTCACTGCACTCCAGCCTGGGTGATAGTGTGAGACTCTGTCTCAAAAAAAAAAACAAAAAAGAAAACAAGATTATGGCTCCCATGCCAGTCCCTCGACCCCTCATGCTGAAGTGAGTGGTGACACCACCTCACACCCCAACCCACTTGCCCAGCTTCGCACTGGGAGCTCTGCTCCAGCCCACCCTCCCTGTCTGCTAACTCCTACTCCTTCTCCAAGATTCCCCAGCCATTGTGTCCTCCTCTGCTTCCCTGGGAAGATGTGCATATGCTCCCAGAGAGGTGGCATAACCTTGAGACACAAAGCATGCCAGCTCTGAAGCCAGCTTGCCTAGGTTCAAATCCCAGCCCCACTTCTTAGCTGTGTGGTTTTGGACACATTACCTAACCTCTCTGGGCCTCAGTTTTTTCACCTGAAAAATGGGCACCCTTGATACCATGTGTACATTGCACTGAAATCTCTCACAGAAAGCAGGAAGAAGAGTCCCTGGTACATAGTAAGCACTCAAAAGACAATTATTAAGATTCCTCCTTGGCCCCTGGGTGTATGCAGTTGTAACATTGTATATAACTTTCCATTAATGGACCACTGAGCTTATTCAAGACAGAAATCACATATTTTCATCTCCTCTGGGTAACACGGCCCCCAGTGCCCACCTAGAGGGGTGCTCAGCCACTACTAGCTGGACAAATGTCCCTACCCCACACCCATCCACACGTTGCCCAGTATTGTACTCACATTTCCTCTGTTGATGTAGACAGTGACCTGTCCCTCGTCCCTGATCTCAGAAAACATGGGGGCCCCCACCAGCAGGTCAGAGAGGCCGTCCCCATTCAGGTCAACTGCGCACAAGGAGGAGCCGAAGTAAGAGCCCATCTGCAACCAAGTTGAGTTGCAACAAAGCATTCAGTGTCTGCTCTCACACAAGGATGCCCTCGCTTTCCTCCACCCCATTGGCTTTAGAAACATCCCTCAGAGGCTGGGTGGCTATGCTGCCGCCTAAGCCAGAATGCCTAGCAAAGAGTGGAATACCCAACTTCCAGCAGCAAGGCAGGGCCCCAGTCAGTGTGACCCAAAGTCCCCCATTCCTGGAGTCCTATCAAGGGGAAGATAAATAGATTGACGCCCAGAGAATGAGGTGCTGTTTATAAAAATGCAAGCCGAGGATTCAAAGTTAAGTTACAACCATAATAAAAATGCCCCTTATATCGAACATTTGACAAGGCCAAGCAAGTAGGAATATGAAATCTCACAACACAAGAAAGGCATGAAAATAAATGTTACATGGGAAAATAGGTTATTTTCTCCTGGTCCTATGCATAGCTAAAGGTTGGTTAGGAAGGCATGAGCTGAAGTGACAGAAAAAGGTACAACTTTTAAGACTGTTTGACTGATGAGAGAACACAGCAAGATAATATTGACTTTTAATTATAGCTTAATTAGGAGTCTCAAACCCATATACCAACAGGATCCAGGCAGGTGACAGGCATAGGAAAAAAAAATTAATGTGGCAAGTGACACTTGTCTTCCATGTCTACATAACAATAGGGACTGGTGGAGACTGTGGCAAACTGAAGCCCACAAGCCTGGCTAAAGCAGCAGCTTCTACCCAGGTGCAGCTAACTGCCACCAAGAGGAAGGCTGACCCAGAGAGGAGTAACCTTTGCATTTTCCAAAAGAAGTCAAAAATTTAAAACTTTATTTATTTTATTTTATTTTATTTTATTTATTTATTTTTAATTTATTTTTTTGAGACGGAGTCTCGCTCTGTTGCCCAGGCTGGAGTGCAGTGGCCGGATCTCAGCTCACTGCAAGCTCCGCCTCCCGGGTTTACGCCATTCTCCTGCCTCAGCCTCCCGAGTAGCTGGGACTACAGGTGCCCGCCACCTTACCTGGCTAGTTTTTTTGTATTTTTTTTAGTAGAGACGGGGTTTCACCGTGTTAGCCAGGATGGACTTGATCTCCTAACCTTGTGATCCGCCTGTCTCAGCCTCCCAAAGTGCTGGGATTACAGGCTTGAGCAACCGCGCCCGGCCTAAAACTTTATTTAAAGTGCCAGTGTTTTAAATGCTCACAACTTCTTCATGCGTAAAAACAATAAACAAATGCTGTGCAAGCCAAACAAAATATATGTAGGCTGTATTGTTTCCAAAGGCTGTCAGTTTGCAACCTCTACTTAAAAAAAAAAAAAAAAAAAAAAAAAAAAAGAAGGAGGAGGCCGGGCATGGTGACTCACCCCTGTACTCCCAGCACTTTGGGAGGCACGTGGATCACAAGGTCAGGAGTTCGAGACCAGCCCAGCCAACATAGTGAAACCCCGTCTCTACTAAAAATACAAAAATTAGCTGGGCATGGTGGCAGGCACCTGTAATCCCAGCTACAAGGGAGGCTGAGGCAGGAGAATCACTTGAACCTGGGAGGCGGAGGTTGCAGTGAGCCAAGATTGCGCCACTGCACTCTAGCCTGGGTGACAGAGCAAGGCCTCGTCTCAAAAAAAAAAAAAAAAGAAAGAAAGAAAGAAAGAAAAAGAAAAAGCATTATTCTTTTAAAATAAATGTTTTCTAATAACAGGCCCCTGGCTTGATGGACATGAACAAGTATTTTCTTTTACTGCTGGAGTTTGTTGGCAGCTGACCCAGGGAGTTTGAGGGAAAGAGGTAAAGGACACTCCAATCTATTTCCTGCAGCTAACAGGATCACAGGAGGGCTTTGTAGTGGCCGCTCAGAAATCCTTCCCCAGTGATATGCCAAGGCCACCTCCCTCCCCTCCAACTACCCAATCTCAAAGGAGAAAGGAACAGGAAAGGGTTGAAATCACAGAGGGTGAGGAGGCAAGAAATCGAGTTACCAGTCACTATTTCAGTGGCCTTGCCAATCTCCCCATCTGCGCTTTGGTAAAAGAAATCAGTAAGACACAGGCAAAGACCCAAAGAGCCAAGCTGCTGGCTGTACTCACTGGCTGAGCCCCAGGGGAACTGTTTGTTTCATTCCAAAGGGCTATTTAATTTGGCATCTTCATCAATGTTAAATTAGAAATCTCTGTATGTGAAGTTTCCTACCTAAGTTTTGAAATACAAATGCTTCACATACTCCGTCAATTCAATAAAACTTCAATATGGCAATGACACGCTTTGGCGTTAGCATCCAATGATCAGAGTCCCCATCAGCCTGGAAATTTGGAGATGTGTGTCTGTATTAACATCTGAACTGCACACATGTTGGTGATTTCTTATATGTACTATTTGGAGAAAGTCAACCAATAAAGACAAAAATCAGCTTTTTTTGTTTTGGTGGGGTTTTCTTCTTTATTTTTTCTTATGGGAAGCCAGGATGCAGAACTATCTGACCAAATTCTAGCCAAACGGAAGCAGAAGTGAACCGGTGGTTTGCTGAGTTAGAACTCTCCTGTCTATGTGGCTCTGAACGTAGGGATAAAGCTAAAGGCATCCTTTGAAAGCCTGGGGTCATGTCCTTTTGTAGGAGGTAATAGAGAAGTCAGACAGACATGAATGTCTCATTTCTTCTGGCAAGAAGCAGAATATGTTGTATAAAGAAAGGTCATGGCCTATTTCAAAAGCAGAACGATGATGACAGGATAAAGCTACTTGGAGACACTAGTAGAAGGACGTGAAGGCAAGAGGGCTGTGAGTGAGTGGCAGAAAGAAGGGGTGCCTGTGGAATGGTGCAAAGGTTAGGGCCAAAGAGCCCTAAAGAAAGAAAAAGTCAAACAGCTACGAAGCCAGGAAGTTGAATACCTGGGCCCTTCTGTCCCTTCTCAGGGAAGCTGATGTATCTTGGTATGATAAGGACACCCAAGCAGACATTCAAGCTTGAACCTGTCCTGGAACTCAATGGCAGAAGTCTTCAGGAAGTTTGGACAAGTGGGTTCCCAGAGGTTAATCTCATCCTCCTTGCACCATCCACTCTCAGATCTACCCCCCAAAACCTGATCAACTTGAGCACAGGTTGTCATCCAAACCAAGAGGTTTTCAAGGAGGAGAAAGGGCAGTTACAGACTGTTAATTACTTGAGGGCAATAGGCATTAACTGGGCCTCCCCAGGGCACAGACAACAAGGAGTAGGGCAGGGAAGGAAGAGCAGTTTGGGGGGCACAGCTACAGTTGAACATAAAGATACTCAGAAAATAGGGTGATGGGCACATTTAAGTTCCACAGTTCATTTTAAATAATCCTTGGCCAGGTGCGGCGGCTCATGCCTATAATCCCAGCACTCTGGGAGGCCAAGGTGGGTGGATCCCTTGAGCCCAGGAGTCTGAGACCAGCCTGGGCAACATGGTGAAACCCCATCCCTACAAAAAAAAAAAAAATTTACTGGGCATGGTGGCACATGTCTGTGGTCCGAGCTACTTGGGAGGCTGAGGTAGGAGAATGGCTTGAGTCCGGGAGGCAGAGGTTACAGTGAACCAAGATCACGCCATAGTGAGACTCGGTTTCAAAAAAAAAAAAAAAAATGGAATCCTTTACCTTTAGGCTTTCAAACCCAGGTACATTTGAAGGGAAGAGCGAGATTGTTTCCATGCTAGATACATTCACCCATTTCTTATCTTCTGCAGAAGATCTAAAATGTTAGCCTCAGTTCCACGCACACCCTACTTGCTCTTTAGGACTCTCTTTTGTAAATCACAAATAGCACGGAGTTATTTGTTTTCTAACTTTAGGGGTGCTTGGAAAACCTTTTTGCAGAATGGCTCACAGTCATTTTCCAGTGCTGTTGCTGTGGGGTTTTGGAAATGTTAAAATAACACAAGCCAGCAGAGTTCTCAGGGGAAGGCAGAGCCATTCTGAGGAAAAATGCAAAACCAAGTTTAGTGATGCATTTTTCATTCAAAAGATAATGACAATTATATACTAAGCATACCTATTTGGATTGTTAAAATTGCAAAAAGGTCTACTTGAATGGGATTTTTGGGACTCGGAATATGATTCACCATAAGAACAACATGGAAGGATCCCAGGCTGGCATACAGCAGTTCTAACTCAGCAGGAACAGAATCGAGGAGGCACATGACCTCCTCCCATGTCTCAGACATCCTATGCTTCTTCCCAGATCCCACTAAGACCTCTACCAAGACCAGCCTCCAAATTACCCCCACAGCTCCCAGCCTAAACTTGTGTCCCTTAGAGTAGTCAAGCTCAGCCAAACAGTCCTGCTGATCTAAGCCACACAAGGAGTGCATGACTGATAAGCTCATGAAAACGGTTGCTTATTAATAGCAGGACTCTCTAACTGGCTTAATTTTAGATGACAGGACAGTATAATGGAAACTCAGAAAGCAGAGAGAGGATTAGGGACAGGGTGGGGAGGACCCAGGCAGAGTAATCTCACCCAGGACTAACTTTAGGGCAGCACCCTGAGCTATTTCTGCTTCAAGGTTCTAAGAGGAATCAGGCAACCTGTGTTTGGATTTTCTCTGTGTGGCAACAGTCATCTTGGCAAAGACAGTTGAGGGCTGAGGATTCGGGAAGCGGTAATGTTGGGCTGGTGAGACAGGCTCAGTGAGAAGCACTTCTTGCTACCTATACTCAGAAAGATCTGCTCTCTCTGGAAGTGGAGATGTGTTGAGAAAGGATAGAGGCAGAGAGACAGGGCATGCAGTTGATGACAGTCTGAACTATGGACAATCTCTTAAAACTCTGTGCTGTAACTTGGCCACATATAACTCATCTTGCTACAGAAAGTCTCCTAAAGCGAGTATGAATTCCATGAACGCACAGGTTACATGTACCGCTGAGAAGGTAAAGACACCACAAGCAGATAGCACTGCCATATAAACATAGGGCACAGGTAGGGCCTTCAAACCAATTTTCTAAAAAGTACTGACTCCCACATGATCACATCTCTCAAATAAAAAATAGTCACTCATACCAAGAACCTCACCTTTTTACCTGATGCTTGAAAGATCTTAATTAAGGTGCCTGATCTTCGGTCAGCTCTGAAAATATAAACCTATGGAATGAAAAAAAAAAATCTAGTTAGGATGAAATCAATGATGAAAGATATTTATCAGCATCCTCCTAGGAGTCCATTTAAAGGCTTAAGGGCCAAGTGCACAGCAGATGTGCTTATGCTAGCTGATGATCATGAAGAAGTCAGCTGTCATTTTACCAACACTGCAAATAAAAGGGTCCTTCAACCCTCAGGCAGATATCACCTCCACTGCTCCTGAACCACATTCTTTATAAAAGCCACACACAATAAGACCCAAGGAGCTTCCAAATTACAAGTAAACAATTCAACTCTGAGAAAAAGCTAGTATTTTGTTTCTTGAAATATTTCCTTTATTCCTTTTTTTTAAATTAGTTGGTGGTATGGATTGGACTTTATTCCCAATAGGACTTTAACAGGCATTACAACAGAAGACAAAGGGATGGGTAGAGGTGAATACTGTACACAAAGCAGTTTCCCAAAGTGATTTCACATCATATTAGAGTTATGTGATCTGCCTAGGTAAATATGAGTTTCGTTTGGGAAATGTGGAGTTAAATATCAAGTGAATTCCTTGACTATGGAACTTTTTAGAGCCTTTAGCATGTTCATGTGAACTATGCATCTCCACTGCAAAGATGATCACTGACATTTAACTTCCTAAATGTACTTGACCATGGAAGTTCTTTTTTTTGGATTACAACTCGTGGGAAGAGTGTCTCATGAGAACCAGTGTAAGTAACCTTCCCATGAGATAAGGAACTGCCATCTTAGTGTGAGTGCTTTTGTGCCCTGACACTAGACTATCCAGCAAAATCCTGAAGGCCAGAGGTCTATTCTGGGGTCCTTGGGAATCAAGTCTGCACTAGCCCCGATCCCTGGGAATGTGGAATTGTCGGCAACTTTGTCACTACGACCAGTTTCCCCCATGCCTCTCAGGTGGTCTAACTGAAAGAGAAGCATTTTTATGTCGCTGTCTCGCTCTATCAATTATAAGTACCATTCTCATCTTTTTAACTTTATCCTCTGCACCCCCCAGATAGCCAATGAGAGGGGTTTGCAGGGGTGTCGTCTTAAGACTTGACAGGGACTATGAAGTTCATCACAGTCATCTGAAGGGAAAACTACAAAACCAGAAGGTGTTTTCCGCAACTAGGGAGAAAAGAAAGCTGCTATCGTTAGCATAGAGGCACCCGCATTACTGTGAACTAAAGGTAAGCATTTTTACCATTTCTACAGAGATGCCCGGTAGCCTGCAGCCCCTCCCCAAGAAGACGACATCAATGCGAACAGCTCTCAGTGCTTCTTTCTCTACTATTTAGAGAAATTCAAGCAACTCAGAAAGAACCACCTCCTTCTTCAGGTGATCGAAGGTCACCTGCTTGATCCCTCCTTCCTGCCGGCTCGGCCCTGGTTTATCTGGTTTCAGTTTCGGAGAACCTCTCTCCACAGCAACAATGTTAGGGAAGAGGGAGGCACATGCTCCAGAAAAGTGAGCAGCAGCTCCTAACCTCTGCCCAGGAGGATCCACAGAAATTACCCTTAGTCAAGCCTAGTCAACTGGAAAGTTTGTCAGCTCCCTGATCATCCTGACCTCCTGGCTGAAGGCTCCAATTACGAGCGGTCTCAGCTCATCTGGGCCAATCCAGAATTCAGATCCCACTTCTCCAAGCTCTGGGAGACACGACCAGACTCTATCACAGGTCTACCCCTAGAGGCTCAGATCCAAAGTTCATTCCTCTGTTCACTCAGTCTTTCCCATCAGGCAACCTATGGAGCTTCTTAAAAATGCGGGTTCCTGATCCATCTGTACCCACTCAATCTGGATTTCCTGTATCTTCATGATAAAGAACCAATGAGCATAGTTCACAATTCAGGCCCCTCAGAGGTCATTTTTCGCAAAGGAATTCAGACAGCCCTAGATCCAGGGGGTGGGTCTTTTGGCAGATACTGTAGTTTAGGGAAAGCCAGACCCACATATTTCCAGTCCAGCCTTTAGGCTGAACCAGTCTTGGGAACCCAATGTTCCTTCTAAAACACTGGGGGAAAAAATATGAGAATAATTTGGGGCATGAGTAAAGCCTCAAAGGTATCTGGGACTAGACCTAGCTCCATTAAATCAAAGCCAAACTTGGGAAGGGTTTGGGATCTGAAGTTGGACAGCACTAAATGCCATTCTTTTGAAGGACACCATAAGGCCAGAGCTCAGTCTTATAAATTACACGCACACACACAGTCAGCTGTGAAAAACCTCAGATGAGAGTGTGCAGGAAATGGAGAGTGTGAGTAGTACTCACACTCCAATTGAGCTTTCAAGGGAAACTTTCCAATGAAGTGGGGCAGTCAGGGGGTTCCTCATCACCTGCCCACCAGCCACCCAGTAGAATGTTCAGGTCAATGTCAGCTGACAAACCTCTGCACCAGGGACAGCATGCTCCCCTCTTCTGTCTGACCCCAGCTATTCCACAGACATTTCTCCTCACCTTGCCGATGCCTTTGTCCTGTGGGGCACCTCCTACCACATCAGTGGTGGACGCGTGAGAGAAGTGGCCAGCGGTCACTGCGTAGCCTGAACAGGATGGGCGGAAACCAAGCACAGGGTTGAAAAAGAAGGGAAGGGAAAAAAAAAAAAAACATCCATCAGAGGAAAATGTTTCTCAAGCATGCCCCCTACTCTTGGAACATAAACTACCAGGAAAAAAATGGCAGCTGTCAGCCTTCTCACGCTGAAATGGCTCTCATCTCACAAAAAGTCATGTTCACAAGGACATCAGGGCAGGAAAGAGGGCTTTCTGAGTGTCTTCTTTGGGACAAGTACTGTATTAAATACTATATATCTGTTTTCTTCCTTTCAAGGCATAGTTTTCATACAGTAAGGTCACACATCTGACGTGTAAAACTCAATGAATGCACACATGAGTGTAGCCATGCAACCACCACCCAGATCAAGGAAGTGACTATAACCACAGAACCATAACCCCAGAGGGTTCCCTCATGCCCCTTCCCAGTCAGTACGCCCCACACAGGTAGCCACTATTCTGACTTCTATCACCATATATTAGGTTTGCCTTTTCTTGAACTTCACACAACATAACATCTGTGACATTCATCCACATCGTTGAGTACAGTAGTGGTTTGTTTCTTTTTATTGTTGAGTAATATCCCGTTATATAAATATGTCATATGTTTATTCTGTTGCTGGGCATTTAGGTTGTTTCCAGGTTCGGGTTATTATGAACAAAGTTGCTACCAACATTTTTATGCATGTCTTTAGGTATCTCTTTCAGTCTAACAACTTGATGAAGAAGGCATGACTGCTTCTTCCATTTTACACATACAGAATTAGAAAAACCTGTTAAACAACATGCCAAAGATCACACAGCAAGACTCAAGTCCAATCTGTGTCTGCAAAGCCCTTGCTGTTAACCACACTCCCTTCTACAAGAAGGCAAAAGAAGCTGTCAGTGGGTGGGTGAGTAGATGCATGGTTGGGTAGATGCATGGGTGGACAGGTGGGAGGGTGGTCAGTGAAAAAATATGGATGCAAAAGGAACCCAGAAACAAAGGAAAAGATTGCCTAAGCTTAGCATCAATGTCTCCTGCTTTCTGAGAGCCTGGCTAGCAGGCTGAAAGCTCTCCTCTGGCCAGCATAAATCCTGTACAGGCTGCCATATAATCCCCAAACTTGTCATCACCCTCTAACCCTAATGTGATTGTAAGTTGTTTGAGTTTTGCGATGACATCATATCATGATCAATTCTTCCTCACTACGTGCCTGATTTCTCTCAGACTGGAGATTGATAGTACCTAAGAGTATTCTGAGTGAGATCAAAGCCTGAACTGATCCTTGATAATCCCTGCAGCTGATAAGAGCCTCTAATGTGTATACAAGGAGAAACCACAGGCCCTAAGCTTCAAAGGAGCTGTGCTAGACCCCAAACCCATCATCCAAACTGGACTTTCTTCTGCCCTCTCTTCATTCCCTGATTCAATAAATATGTGTTGAGTTCCTACCATACACAAGGCACTATACTATACCAAGTCTGGGAAATGAGAGACAATCTCACATTTTGTGCTCCCAGCCCAGTGAGAGGTACAGTACCAGTGCTAGGTGCTCTCTTAGATGCACCCACAGGGAAGGAAGCTCAGCATTTAGACTCTGCACTCAGAAACCACAGGTTCATACCCCAATTTTGCTACTTAGGAGCCATGTGACCTTGGTAAGATGTATAACTTCTTTGCTCCTCAGTTTCTTTATCTATAAAATGTAGATAACAATACCTACTTCATAAGGTTGTTTCAGAAATTAAAAGAAATAATATGCAGAACCTGGCATAGGGTAAATGCTTAATAAACAACAGTATTGGGCAGCTGAGTGCCTACAGGAGCAAATACCCCAGAGTAGAAGGATTGTTGGGTCTATACTACCCAGCAAAAAATTTGTAGTTAGAAGGGAAAAGGCAAGTCAACAACTCCCTAATCCCATTTAACAAGAAGTTCCCAGTGATGCTATGCAAAAAGGGAATCAGAGCCTTTCTCTGTAAGTTACGTGTCATGAGTGTGAAAGAGCATTGTGTGTCATCATTAGCCCCTCCTAAATTTAGCTTCATTTTCAATCCAGAATTATAGCATTTAGGGCATGAATTAAAGAAAAGAGTCTTGTAATTGTCATCTACACAAGCAAAGTCAGCCTATGTCTCTTCTTAAATTGGCATGGACCTTGCCCCAGTGTCATTCTGCCTGATAGCTAAATTAAATTGTGTCTATCTTCTTTCCCGAAGATTGAAAGACTTAAGAAAATAAGAGATATTTTTCTGAGCCTTTAATTAACCTTCAGCATTAGGTTGCCATCTGTCATGATAATTTCTAGTTCTTATCTTTCTATTTGCAACCAGTTTTGTGATCAGAATTCAAGGAATCCTTCCAAAGGGACGCCCATGGAAAATTAAGACTCCGTCACACTCATTTGTACCTGACCATCTGAACTTTGACAATTGATAAAATGAGAAAATAAAATGTTTATTTCCCTGGAGGTTCAACTGTCAGCTCTTTAATTAAAGCATACAGTTTTAATTCAGTTCCCTCCTTGGTTTTCCTCTCTACTTTCTGTGTGTGGAGCTAGATGTGAAGACGCCCTGGCTAAAGATGTAAGTCATTAGAACAACAGGCGTCAAAGCCAACTAACTCCTCTTTTCAACAATAAAGCAATAATTTGTGAATCTGGTGGGAATCACTCCCATTTCCCCTTTCTTACCTGTTCTCTCCCCGAGTACTCACCCAGGTAGGTGTACCGCCTGTTCATGATCACTTCATCGTTCAGTTTTAAGTACGTGTTGTCAGTAAGGTTCAGCACTTTGACGGTTCCAGCCCAATAAAATGACCCTGGGGCACCCATCACCACCAGCTCCTACCAAAAAGAAATCCAACGGTTAGCAGAGAAGGAAGTGAGGAGGGGAAAGGAGGGGAGTGCAATGAGAACCACAGTCACAACAAAGGAGAAATTCCTCACACCAAGAACTTTTTTTTTCCCCCCACTAAGCAATAAAAACACATTTCACCAGATTCACCAGCATTATGGAATCTATTATACAGACGGGATTATCAGAACTAAAGATGTGAAGAGACTGAGTAAGGTGACAGATTCACGACAGGCCAGGCCCCTATTCTATCCACAATGAGACCACACACATTTCCTCAACTTTACATCAGGCTCTAACAAAGAAATGACAAACAGCTGACATTGACCTCAACCACAGATTCCGGGGAGCACCACTCATGAAAAGCAGCAAGCAATACCGCACCCCGCCTGGACTTCAGGCTCACCATCCAACAACTCCCCCGCCCTGATGCGTGGCAAGAGGAAACTGTGCACTAGTACTCCAGGGAATCCCCTCCAAACCACACTCAAGACCCTCTCAGGGACATTCTAGAACATGGTTTTCTGATCATTATGGTCTACTGTAAACTTGGAAGAACAAAACCAAGAGACCAGAGAGGTCAACTAAGGAAGGACACAAACTGGAAGAGAAGACCGCAGGCAGCAAAAGACAGTATCACTGTTAAAAATGGACTCAAGGCCGGGTGCAGTGGCTCACGCCTATAATCCCAGCACTTTGGGAGGCCAAGGCGGGCAGATCACTTGAGGTCAGGAGTTTGAAACCAGTCTGGCCAACATGGTGAAACCCCATCTCTACTAAAAATACAAAAAGTAGCCGGGCATAGTGGCACATGCCTGTAATCCCAGCTACTCAGGAGGCTGAGGCAGGAAAATTGCTTGAACCTGGGATGTGGAGGTCTCAGTGAGCCAAGACTATGTCACTGCACTCCACCCTGGGCGACAGAGCAAGACTCTGTCAAAAAAAAAAAAAAAACAACCCAGGCTCAAGAACATAAGAGGTTCAACATACAGCTGTCTTCAGCATTTAGATCGGCGGAAATGGCCAACAGGCCTGAGAGCATGTTCGTGCCGCAGAACCATCACCAATGCTGATGATAACCCTAAGTTCCCAGAAATGATTTGGTTACCCAAGGAAGTTAGCACAGGTATCTGCTGGGGTTTTCCCCTGGGTGATAAGATAATGGGAACCAATCAACGCATCCCCTGCACTCTCATTCCCAAAGTTTATTTCCTTTGTATTTTTCCAAATTCTAGACCAGACTGTTTTCCAAGAGTGCAGGACTCAAGACAAAATTCAACACTGTCCACTCTTTCAACCACATTAGGGTCCTCTCCTGCCACTGCCTCCTCAGACTGCATGCCTAGGACACTCTAAACTAATTCTGGTCTTCGGCACTCCCTCTACTCTTTCTATCTACATCTGTGCAAGCCCTCATACTTCCTCTGCCTGTGTAACCCTTTCGCAGTATTCAAAACTCAATTGAAATATGGGTGAATCCTAGACCAAATGTTGATGAGAAAAAAATGACTCAATTCATAGGAAGTTCTAGAATGAGCAAAACCAATCTACAGTGATGGAAGCCAGATCGGTGGGTGCCCAGAGTAAAGAGGAGGAGCACTGTCTGCAAAGGGGCATGAGGAACTTTCCGAAGTGATGGAAATGTTCTCATCTTCATTCAGGCAGAGACAACGTGGTATGCACATTTGTCAAAACTCATCGAACTCTGCATTTAAAATAGTGTATTTTGTTGTATGTATTAATATTTTTAATAATCTTCATTTTTTTAAAATTCCAGAACAGTGATTAAACACTAACAAGGAAGTCATCGCATAAAAACACAAAACGTGCTCATGAGATGACATTTGACAAGTATTAAGACGAAGCTCCCATTGTGCAGAGGCTGTGCTGGAGCTAGAAGGCAGGCTGTGCTTGTATCTATCAGAGGTCCTTGGCTTTCAGTCCTTCCTTCTTCCAACAAGGAATCCCTACTTTTGGATTACCTACATTTTCTAAAGTTTCGACACTGCACTAAGAAATAATCAGAATTATTTTTCCAATGAAATCAGTAATTTTTCACTCAATAATATTTATTGAGCACCTACTATTATGTCTCAGAGTTCACATTAGATATAAAGATAAATAAAGTCCCTTTGTAAATCATTCTTGGGGCAAGACAGCATGGTAATATGCAAAGTATTTCAGAAAAAATTCGATGAAAACAGGTTAAAATCAACAAAATTTCTAGAGGAAACCCTTCAGCTATAGACAAAACTCCAAAGATACTAGTAGGTCATGAAGGCTCATGGGGAGAACAGATGCTGTGCAGGTCAAGTCTCTCACTGCTGAAACCCACCTGACCTTCCCCTGAGCCTTCAGAGTTCCCCCGCACCCTGCCCGTCGGTCACCCATATATATTTCAGAAACAGATCTTTTCAGGTTGATCTCCCTCTGCAGAGACGACCCCATGCACTAGCAGAAGCTCCTGGCTTCTGACAAGTCCTTGGAGGCTAGATCCCACCACGGAGATTTAGAATTTCTGACAACAATTCATAAAGTCACCACTGAATTCTCAGGGAGCAAGTGTCTGCAAAAGCCAGAAGTATCTAAAGAAAAAAATAGAGAGGAGGATAGAGCCTGCAGGCAAGAGGACAATGCTTTAAACAATACGTTTTATGGTTAATTTGGGGAAGAGCCTTAACAAAGGGTAGGGCAGAAACACAGATGGAAGAAAAGCCACTAGATTCTCGCCAGAATGGTTTGCTTTTTGATAATTCAGGAGGGTATAGACAAGAAATGACTGTTGAGGAGCACTTGATTTTAAGGTTTTGAGATCCTACCCCCCTTGAAGGAAGCTATTGATGATAAGCCAGATGTTCCCAGGGGTATCTCACTGTTTTATAAAAATAGATGGCTTTCTGCAGTCAGGACTCTCCACTGGGAAACACAGCACAGCATCCATCCATTCATTCTTTTTACACTCATCTGTCCTGCATAAGAGACCGGGCTAGTTCTAGAAAGAGTATAAGAAACACAAGCGATAAGTTCATCAGAGGAGACAGACTCTTTTTCCTGGCCTTGAGCTTGGAAAGGAATTTGTAATAAGTGTCCAAATATAATACAAAGGGCACCGAATAACCTAATGAGCAACCTCCTGAGCCCCAGATGTATCCACAGTGCAGAACTTTCTCCACCTGCGGCTTTGCACAGGCCAAACAGCCCAGGCCTGCAAAGGCTCTTCGGGACATTGGGGGCGGGTAAGGGATATGTTGCTTTCTGATGACTTAGACTAACCCAGGATAAAAGTTGAAAAATGTATGCCTACCATACCACTGCATGCCCTCTCAAACATTACAAACAGGGTAAGATAAAGTCATTCCTCTCTTCAAAAACCTTTAAAACCAACAGCTCTTGTTTTTACCGCTCCCCTCCATCCCACCCCCAGTGCTCACACCCCTCTCCCTTCAGTCCATACTAAATAAAACAGGGCCAAGCCTGTGATCCTCAGAGCTGAGGCTGAAGGGAGGGACAGTGCCTTCCTGGAAATCCCTCATAGTTGTTTTTTTCTGTTCACTATGGATGATGCTTGTGACCTTTCTGGTGCTGTTCACAAGTGCTAGGAAAAAGTGACCAATACTTAGGTCCCCACCACCCAGGAACAGCCAATGTCAATGTCACACATACAAATGAAAGGTTCCCCAAGCAAAGGCCACCACTACCTAAATCACATTTGTGGAATCCCATCTATAAGCAATGCAGCTTTTTCCCAAGACGCACTTATTAGCAGAACCCCTAGAGGGACCAGGGCATCTAGGTGTGCCTGGAAGAAGTCATATATTTCTTCTGTGTACTGCAAGTTGGCATGAGCAGCTGGGCAGGAGAGTGCCCAGGATCTACAACAGAAGTTCGTGCTGAACAAACTGCCACTCAAGTGTCTCCAGGCTTCTGCAGCAGGCGCGAACGCCAGCCCCGTTGGTCCAAATTCTCTCTTGCTGCTAAGCAGCATCTACTACCTCTGTTAGCCTCATCTACAAAAATAAATAAACTTCCCAGGAAATTCTCTCTAATCCTCAATGACAGGCTAAAACTCAGGTGGTATCTGCAGCTCAGAGGGCTTTGTTAAGCTCAGGGTCACTGATCTGTAGGTCAAGCAGGCACCTTAGGCCAAAATATTTTGGGGCAATATAGCTATTGTGTCCAGAAGGACACAGATCCATGTCCAGTTTGGGAAGCAGCTGTCTGCCCTGTGAGGGGACATCAGCGCACAGAAAAGACAAGCCCAAGTGACGAGGTCAGCAAGAGGGCAGAGGAGGGGAGCCATGCTGGCCTGGCCCCTTCAACCACATTTCCTGCTCAGCCACAAACAGCTGAACTTCCAGAAACAAGGCAGGCAGGGAGTTCAAAGACCTCCTGTTTAAGGAGGCCAAAAGCCTGGGAACCGAAGCGGAGGCCAAAGTCCAAAGTGGCCAGGAGACAGTAGGCCGGGGTCAGAGGGCACAGTGGCGCCCAGAGGGGCTGCCTTCCCACTCACACCGCCCACCCTCCCCAGCCACTCTGTACACCCACCATGTCCCCACTTTGCTGTACCATGAGAGCACAGCCAGCACAGGCTGACGCCCCATGGTTCCCTCAGGCTCTAAATCTCAGAGCCTGGATTTCAGCAGGTCTTCTGTTCTTCTGGTCACCCTGAGCTTGCACAGCCACCTGGACTTCCCCTCCACACCCCTGCCCCACCGGCTCCTCCTACCACTCCCTGCCTCCACCCAGCCCAATGCCTGACGTGCCAGCAGCTGCGGCTAACATAATGACACTTCCCTCCTGGGAACACTTTCTCTCTCGGCTCTCTGTCAACATCTCTGTTGAGTTCTGATGTCTCCCATCAATCTAGCTTCTCCTCCCATCTAAAGGGAGGGGTCTCCCCCATGCCCCACACTAAGCACACTCATCCCCTAAGAGAGTCATGAGCAACGACCAAATCTAAGTTTCTACCCCAGGCAGGACTCCAGTCCCTAAATCCAAATGTCCTCTAAAAACATCGCACACTCCATGTATCTGAAAGCAGACTCGGCAGTTTACATCTCCCAGTGGGTTCTTTCTCGGGCAACGCCTTTCCACCAGCGGCACCACGATTCTTCAGAAGCCTGGCTCAAACCCTCCTTCCTCTACCCCACAGCTCCCTGGCCACCCAGCCCCTTGACACCTCCTTCATATTCTCTGCCTCCCCCAATCATTTTTATTCCTTAAGCTTCCCCCTAGCCTGTCCCATTGCTTCATGGCTGGACCACATCATGGCCTCCTACCAGGCCTCCCTTCAGGCCCTTCCACTCCCAAGGTTCTGGGCAAACCCAGCCCAAATAGCCTTTCTTTCAACACTGCCATCTGCCAGTGTGTCACCTGCTTGTGAACTTACAGTGGTTCCCTACTGCCTATTGGCTCAAGTCACACGATACTAGACAGGCCTGTTGGAGGAACAACAGCCATACTTGTTACACGATCTAAATGTTTACTGAGATGGAAGAAGAGTGAAGTTGCCACACATGGCAGGATGGCATTTCAACGGGGAGAGGAAAAGTTGTTTAACAAACCAGTAACAGAACAACCAACTATATATTTAGAAAAATAATGTAGTTTCTATCACACAATGTATATAACACAAATTCCAGAAAGATTAAAGATAGAAATCTTCTTTAAAAACAACCTATGAAAGTGCTATTAAAAATATAAGTATATTGAAAATATAAGTATAAAATATGGGAATTTGTTCAGTCCAGACTTCTGTTGTAGATCCCGGGCACTCTCCTGCCCAGCTGCTCATGCCAACTTGTGGTGCACATAAGGAATAACCTTCCTAAGAGAGAAGTTTAGAATCTGGGGGGAAAAAAAGACTGATAGATTTGGCCAAATGTGCATGTTTATTGCCAGGATGATAAAGACACCATAGGCAAACTTAAAAGATAAGAAAAAGGCTGATGAAAAAAATTGTATATCAGGTAAAAAACACATATATCAGGTAAGAGATTAGTGTTGAAAATACGCAACAAGTTCCTAAAAACCAGGAAAACAACAACAACAAAACAGAATAACGTACTAAGAACGTAAACAGGCAACTTCCAGGAAAACAAGTACAAATGGTCAATATTTTAAAAGGATATTAAACGACATTAATAATCAGGGAAAGTGACATTAAAATGAGATGTTTTTTCATAACAAAAATTAAAAGTCTGAGGGACAGAAGATAGAGACAGACGCAATGCAGGGGAGTGTCAACTGGTAAACACGTCTGAAGTGCAATGTGCCAACATGTATCAAATTCAAATCTGAGTGCCTTTTGACCCAGCAGTTCCTCCATTAGTGTCTCTTCTAAAGAAACACTTGTGTACAGAGCCACGTGAATGGATCTCCAGTGCAATGCCACCAGTGGGAGTCCGGCGTGTCCTGGCAGCAGCTGAAAATACCATGTAGTGGGTGAGGCAGGAGATGAGCTTGGAAAGGCAGGAAGGCTGGGAGGCCAAGGGAAGGCATGTGCATTCATTCTAAGCAGGATGAGAAGACACCAGAAAGTTCTGAGCAAGGGTGCACCATGATGTTTTTCTTGTTTGTAAAAGGTGGTTCTGGCTGCCATATGGGGATCAGTCTGTCCAGAGGCAAGGGTGTAGGCAGGACGGTAGAAGGGTTCCGCAGTGGGCTGGGAGCAAGACAACTGTGGCTTAGATTTGTGGGGTGGCAGAGGATGTGGAGAGCAATGGATGTCATTGTTAGAGGTTTTGAGGGCATAGGAGGTAGTGGGACTTGCAAGGTAGCTTAGAAGTAGGAGAGTGAGGTGAGAGAAGAATCTTTAAATTTGGCTTCAATGGCTAGGAATGGTGCCATTCCCAAGGCATAGAACTCTGTTGACTGTCATAAAAATGATTCTCCAGTGAAGAATCACTGAGGGTGTGGAATGGGGATTGGAGGGTAGCATCTCCTATTTATTGGTTTGAGAGTGAAAATAACAAAACTTTTGACTTTCTGCCTTTTCTTGCTTGCTTTCTGGATCAGACACTATGAATTTGCCAACTGTCTATCTTCTCTTTGGATTTAAACAGCAGTTTCTGAAATGCAGGTGGACAGTCTTGCTCGTGACTCAGGAGGCGCCCTCATTTTGGAAGCCAGAGAGCACCCTTCATCCTCCCTCCATCCCCCATGTCCCATGCCCTCCCCCAGCTCTCTGTTGTCCTGGAGTGAGGGAAAGAGAGAGGTGGCCTCAGGGAGCCAAGTCCAGGGGCCAGGATGAGGAGCTTTAGATTCTAATCCTCCAGTGACTGGGAAGCCTTGGAGTCAGAAGGATGGGTTTCATTTGAAGGCCCTTGGGGCTGGTATGCAGAAAGCACACTGCACAGGTCAGAATGGATGCAGACTGGGTGATAAAGGTGTTCTAACCTAGCCCGTGGTGACAGGTGCACAACACTGAATGCACTAATGCCACTGAACTACACTTTAAAGTGGTGACTTTTATAATATGTATATTTTACCACAATTTTTTAAAAAGCATAATAGACATAAGAAGACCAATCAGGGCCAGTGTACCTCCAGGTGCTCGTGGTGGCCTTTCTAGAAGCATGATGGTGATAATGGAGGCGACTGTATTGGTAATAAAAGCTGTCATATTTGGGATGTGTTTTGGAGGCTAAAACAACAGGATTGCAGATGAATTAGAAGTAAAAAGGACTCTTGTTTTGGCCTGAGCAATCACATGGATGGACAGTGCCAGCAGGCAGTCATGAAAGTGTTTGAGAGAGGAGGAATTGATATGAAGGGCAAACTTACAGTAAATAAGAATGACACAAGAAAACAGTCCCTAAAAATGTACTACCAGCCAAAAGTCATGATACTACTGCAAGGGCACATAAGCATGCAGGTGTCCTGTCCTTCAGAATCTGGGAAAGGGAATGGTTAGAGTTGTGTGTAAAACCAACTCTCTCAGGCCAGGTGTGGTGGCTCAGCCTGTAATCCCAGCACTTTGGGAGGCCAAGGCGGGCAGATCTCCTGAGGTCAGGAGTTCGAGACCAGCCTGGCCAACATGGCGAAACCCCATCTCTACTAAAAATACAAAAATTAGCCGGGTGTGGTGGTGGGCACCTGTAACCGGAAGGCTAAGGCAGGAGAATTGCTTGAACCCAGGAGGCGGAGGTTGCAGTGAGCCGAGATCATGCCAGTGCACTCCAGCCTGAGCGACAGAGCAAGACTCTGTCTCAAAAAAACAAACAAGTCTCTTCACTAAGGAGAGAGGGCCACTAGGAGGGGATGCTTACACGCTTCATGTATCTGCACAGCTGCCAACGATGGGGCACAACCTGACTGAATGTCATCTCACTCACACATCCCTGAATCGACTCCTTCCCCAGGTCTCAGAGTCAAGCGGACTCCTATAGAAATCATCGAATGGGGGTAGCCTCCAGATGAGCCAGTCCACCTCCTCTGCCCAGTGGTCTCTGGCCAGCTGGTGCCCTCCTGGCAGGTTGAAATAGCCTCCTCCGGTGTGAGGACCAGAATCTGCGCCCTCGAAGCTCACGTATCTGGGACTCCAGAAGTCCCACCTCTAAGAGCTGCCAAAATCACATAAGCAGGGAAATGAACACCCACAAGAGAACAGAAATGCCCAGACAGCAGACACCCACCTCGGTGAAGAAGCCCGCTATCCCAGCCTGGCAGGAGCCGTGTTCCTCTCCGTACTTCTTCTTATACTCTAGGGGGAAGGAAGGAGAGAGAAGCAAACCACAGCCATGTCAGTGTGTGCCAGCTGTGCGTGGAGCCAGCAGAGCCAACCAGCCACTTCCCGCGAGTACCGCAGCAGGCTGGGCCCAGGGATGCCGTCCAGACTGGGGTGAGGAAGGAAAGTCTCAGGAATCCACCAGACCTCAAAAATCCAGGCTGTGGTGCCATCGGGTAGGGAGGCTGCCCAGCACCCCAGCAGACTTCCTCCCCTCGTGTGCAAGAAAGAGGAGCAGTAGCCACAGTCATTAAGTGGGAGGCTGGTAACAATTATTTCATTTACTTCAGAAGGGACAGAGATCCCTCGCAGGCCCAAGGAGCTGAAAACATGACCCAGAAATGGAATGATGTGGCCATCCCAGTGTGGAGTCTCCTGGATGAAGACCAGCCCTCCCTAAAAGAGGCTTTGGATGCCTCCTACCATCCAAAAAGAAACAAGCTGTCGGCAGAGGACTGCAAGAAGGGACTCCTCTGGCATTCGGCTGCACTATTGCTGTGTGGAAGGAAAGGGGGAAGATCTCTCCAGGTGGAAAGAAAACTAATAGATAAGCTCTTCTCCTCCTCCATCCCCTCAGCTCACAACACTGCTACCCAACAAATGGGGGCATGCCGCCACTGCAGTTTTAATTTTAAGTTGGCAAGGAAGAGGGGGAGGAAACTTTCGACAAGTGCTTAGCATGTTCCAGGCATTGTGTTAGCTGTCTCCAGGCATATCATTTCACTGGTCCCTCATCCCTAGGAACCCATATCCCCATTGGTTAACAGGTAAGAATATTGAGGCTCAGAGAGGCTAAGTGAATTGTCTAAGGTCACGCAGCTCTAGTAAATGGCAATGCCAGGATTCTACCTCAGCTTGGACTTAGAAACCCATTCCTTCACCTCTGGAGCCCATCAAAGGTTCTGCAAAGTGAGTGACTAAAAATACCCAGGAAAGTGACTGGATGTTGGAAATCATTTCATGGGTAAAGTCAAGGAGGTGGAGAGATGTTCAGAGTGACTCAAATTAATCACATGTGAGGCTGACATTGCTGGAGACCTTCCACAGGCCACCCCTGGGCACCCTCAGGCCAGGGCTACCCAACAAATAACCTAGTGACCCTGTACCACCCCCTGGGCTCCTGGCAAGTCTCTGGTACCATTAAAAGCAATATCATTATTTTTGAAACGCAAAATACAAAGGAACAATGAAACTATGATTGCAACACAGTGCCACTTCCTGCATTTCTGAGCGTCTACTCCAGGCAAGGGGAAAAAGGACCCTGGGGAAATATACAGAGTAATTCAGTTTCTAACAACACTCACCACAGAGCCTAGTAACATTTTCCAGTAAGTGGCCATTAACTGACTGCTAAATGACAAAGAATGTCAATTGAGTTACTCCTCTTCCACGCAGGGCAAAATCAGTTCTCCTGCCTTGTCCTGTTATTATAAGGACAACTGCTAGACCTGCCAGAAAGCAGCCCAGTAACAAAAGGACCTTGTTTGTTCCCTGCAGAATCTTGCACCAGGGCTGGGAGTGAGACTAGTGCAAAGCAATGAACAAATCCTGCATCAAATTGCATAATAGCAAGAAATAATACAAATTAATAATAAATCCTGCATCAAATAGCACAATGGCAAAAAGGATCAAAATGTCTCAACCTAAACAAACAGTTACATATTAAACATGAAAAGTCTGGCTAAAAGCATATCCATCCCACTGACTCTAGAGACTAAACACCCAATTGTAACTCTTGAAAAAATGAAACATACAAAGGAAATTCAGACCCCATGAGCTGAATGAAACTATAGTGCAAGATACACCACCAGTTCAGACTCATAAATTTCTGACATGAATAGGAATTGTGTGGGACTCTTTCATCTTTTAAAGCAGTCTCAAGGTCTCTTTATGACAAGGCCTCCAAAACACGGGAGATTTGAGAACTTCGGTGCCTTTCTCAACCTCCTCCCCAAACTGTACTTGATGTGGTCTATGTTCAGAGCACGACCTGGGGTTTCTGAGGTGGCAACAGCCTCACTGGAAGCTAAGAGTACCCCACTTCTGGCCCAGGCTAAAGGCCAGCAAGGGGAAGCCCTTAAAGGCACCCCTGTTTCAGGCAGCATGAAGCACTGTTTTCAGGCCAGCCTCCGCCTCCCCAAGCTGGGACTGCCCCACCAGAGGTCTGAGGGCCTGGGACACACATGGAAGTGGGGACTATCACTGACATTCACATTTCTGAAACCCCAAGTCTAACCTGCCTTCTCAGGATGCTCTAGGGTAAGGAATCAAACAATGGGGCCCCCTGACTGGCTCCTATAATCAAGTCCAGATCAAAGGGTAGGCCGTGTCTCAGCGTCCCAGAAACTTCTGTGACTCTGTCATTAATCCCTTCAAGGTAGAGTAGGGTCCAGTTCTAATCCTTCTACCACCTACCCAATCCCTGCCACACACACTTTGGGGGTAGTTGTTGGGCCTGGCAAGTCTAGTCTAGGAAAGTTAGTGCGTGTTATTGGATTGGACAGTTTCACATTCCACGCCTTCCACAGCCTGGCCACAGGCATGCTTTCCATTGTTTTTACTCCTTTGAATGCTACTTCTGTGAGTTAAGGGCACCACTATTATTTTAACCTGATTCCTTCATATATATGTCATGAGGGCAGGTTTAGGTTTCTCCCTAATCTATGTTCTAAATGTTCATGTACGGACCTTTCTTCCCCCAAAGAGTATGTATATAGGGTTACTCTGCCATACTCATATCTAAAAAACTTAAAAATACAACTTGTCTAGACTTGAGATGGCAGGACAGCCTATATCACAAAGCTATAGGAAGGGAGGTAGGTGCAGAGAGAGGCAAGCGGCTGCCCCCCAAACAACACCCCCAACAAGCCCAGGTCACACACCCTCCCTCCATTGACAAGTGCAGGAAGTGCAGGGTGGAGGGACCTGGGAGGGGGTGGGGGTGACCTCCAGTCTTCTGTGTTCCCAGGAAGAACTTTTCCTGCACAAACACAAAGGCTGTGGGGCCCAGCAGCTGGCTGCTCCTGGGCATGTCCACTCGGTCTCCAAATGCCCCCAGGGACATGGCCCTGCAGAGAGAACTACAACAGCTAGTGCCCTCTCCACTACTGAACAAAACATTTATCCACCTCAAAGAAGCAGGGGAAAAGCAGGCTTTGCCTGACAGCAGCTCACAGGCACTGTAACAAACCTAACTCTTAAATTTGGGGAAGCTGGCTAGCACGGCAGCTCACACCTGTAATCCCAGCACTTTGGGAGGTTGAGGCAGGCAGATCACTTGAGTCCAGGAGTTGAAAATCAGCCTGGGGAACAAAGTGAGACCCCCATCTCTACAGAAATACAAAAATTAGCTGGACGTGGTGGTGCACACCTGTAGACCCAGCTACTCAGAAGGCTGAGGTGGGAGGATGGCTTGAGTCTGGGAGGCAGAGGTTGCAGTGAGCCACGATCACACTGCTGCCCTCCAGCCTGGGCAACAGAGCCAGACCTGGTCTCAAAAAAAAATGGGGGAAGCCAAATCCGAGACCCAAAATATAGGGTTGAACAAGGGGACTTAGAAGTCACTTAGAGAAGCTGGAACCAGGTTGTAGAACTCTTTCTGCCATGGGTGGGTTTGAATTACTTGGCCTGCATTACAGGCTTTAATTCATTACGTTGTATGGCTCCTCCATTCTAAAAATGGGAGTATTTTCCTTGGTTTAGCTGCTGGTTTTATTAAGCCCTGTCTAAACAGAAGGCAATTCAGAGAGGAAAAAAATACTGGTTTCCAAATGTTCACAATCCATGGAGCCTACATTAACGAATGTAATTCAAGTAGACCACCAATCGGGTGGGATCACTTCCCGCACCCTTTCCAAAAGGCCAGGATAAAACCATTCCACAGAAAGATCAAGATTCACATACAGCATAACATATATTTTTCCTAATAATCTCCCTGCGCATTACCCATTTGAGAAAGTTTCGTCTTTCAAAGCTTAACACGTCAATTTTATAATTATTTTTCTGTAGTTCTTTAGCTTAGCTATAAAATAAAATATTGGGAGGAAAAGAGCTTGCCAATCTTTATTCTGATTTTCACCAAGCAGTTGTTAGATATATGAACTCCAAGTTTCTCTTCAAAGAATCAGTATGTCACTATGTTCAGCTCTCTTATTCTCTGATTCTCCATTTTAAAGTTTAACTTCCTGATTCTCTTCGGCTCCCTTACCTCTAGTTTCAGTAAACAACTTTCCCGCCAGTTCTCATCAGTAGTTCACATCTGTTCCCCTGGTCACCTGCTTTGACCTGAGTCACCCTGGTTACCTGCTCTGTTTTGAGTCACCCCTGGTCACCTGCTCTGACCCGAATCATCCTGAGTCACCTGTTCTGTAACCACCCTTCCCACTGAACTACTCACCCCGCCACTCAGGATCATACTCCTACTCTCTTTAAAAGAGCCAATTGGAATTAGCTTAGACTGTGTGGTCCAACCCCAGGAAATAGGGGAACGACACAGCAGTAGGGGTTACCTGCATCAGGAATAAGAATCCCTGCCCCTCCCCTGTCCAGGTGTGCTCTCGCCATTATTCATCCACGCATCGCATCCTTCTATAGAAGTAAAAATTGCCTTACTGAGAAAATTAAATTTATGTTCGAGGGCTATTTCATTGTGGCACTGAGGAACAAGCATTTTGTTTCTAACAAAGTGGCAAATCTAAATAACTGATAATTATATAATACAGGAAACAATGCATTTGGGCAGGCAGAGCTCCAGTAATTAAAAGGGCAACTATACAGAAAAATGAAGAGAGAATAAAACTACCCTCAGTTTACAAGGGACCACGATGTAAATGGGGGGAAAAAAAAAACATAAATAAACCAAACAGCTAGGTTAAAGAGGAAGGGAGAACATTTTATGAAAATAATTGATGACTAAGCTATGCTGTGCATTAAACACAAAGTGCATAAAGCCAGGAACTCAGAATTAAATGAGAGAA